AGAAATTAAAAATTTTGCATTTTACTACATTTTGAAAAAAGTACTTTTCTGCTACTTTTTTTAATTTTAATAAAATTTAGGAAATTTGATTAAAATGTTTAATTTTTTTCCCAAAAAAAGTACAAGAGAATTAAAAATTGTTTTTTTTTTTTTAAGAAACTATTTTTTCACTTTAATGTTTTTTTAACTATTTCTTTTTGTTGCCTCAACCAACAACATAATTATGATTTGTTAAACGAAAATTAGAACAAGTGCATAATAGCATTTAGACAACATTAAAACAAACGGTTTACACTTACTGCCCTCCACAGCAAAACATAAAGAAAAAAGTAGTAGATAAATAAACCTGTTGTTTAACGAATAATTGATTATGGGGTATCATTGTTAGCTGGAGATTTAACAAAAACATTTCAACAAGATTCTTTAAAAAACAATTTTAAAAGAAAAGAAGAAAAAAAGAAAGAATCTTTGTCTTTTATATAAATAAACACTAAATGTTTCTTTTTTTTTTGTTGTTTTCTTTATAATGGTGTAGATTACTATGAAAAATGAAAGTTATTTGTTGCTATAATTCGTCTATAATGACAGATCATTTCACTAATAATAATTAAATTTAAAAGATTTTAGTTATTTTAAAGCTTTTTAACGGATTTTTGCGTTTATTTTTTCACCATAAAAATTGGGTCAAATTTTAAGCCGGAGGTAGTTTGGCAAAAACATTTTTTTTAAGTAAAAGTTATTTAGAATAGAAAATTAAATTAAATTAAATTACTAAAAATTTGTTTTAAAAAACTTTAAGGCAAAAAATAATTATTTCTTTAAAGAAGAAGTTACCATCATTATTCAAATCATTAGAAACCGTAAACAATGGGTGATCTGTTTGTATTTCGTTTCTAACAATAACAAATCTTGTTTCAAACAATATTCTTTAAACGGAAGTTCCCTATATAATTTTTCCATTTACTCTAGCTCACAGCAGTAAGAAATTTTGTAAAGATTTCAATCTATATTTATTTTCTTGTATTATTAAAGAATAGTTGTAAAGAACAGGTGCTGTTGGGGCACATTGGTTGCTGCTTCAACAAGAAGGAAGAGAAAGTTGCCTGGCAAAGAGATGTTACAGTTTTAAAAACGACTGACAGACAGACAGACAGCTAAGCAAACTACTTGCACAAATGTTTGACCTAATAAAAAAAAATGTGCAAACATGCATGTGGACATGTGTGTTGCAGCCTAAGTGAAGAAATTTAGGTGTTAGAAAGCTACAAAATATAATTTGCCAACTGGTTAAGATAATTGTAGGGGAAAACCATTAAAAAAAAACTCAAAATAAAGAAGCAAAAACTGAAAGAAATTTCTTAAACGTAGTATTCTTTAAAAATCTTGTTAAAAACTGTATTAATATAGTTTTTCTATGTAAATTTCAATCAAAATTCACACATTTCATTCCTCTACCTTCATTTTAGCGATTATTTTTATTTAAAAACCTATTGGCAGCATTTTTGTATGAAGTATGTGTCTTAAGTCTAGTTTGTTTACCTTTTCTAACCAAGCAAAACGTCATATTTAATTTTGTCAATGTTTATGTACTACATGAGGTGATAACTTTGTTTAGAACTAACTAACTAACTAACTAACTAACTAACTAACTAACTAACTAACTAACTAACTAACTAACTAACTAACTAACTAACTAACTAACTAACTAACTAACTACTAACTAACTAACTAACTAACTAACTAACTAACTAACTAACTAACTAACTAACTAACTAACTAACTAACTAACTAACTAACTAACTAACTAACTAACTAACTAACTAACTAACTAACTAACTAACTAACTAACTAACTAACTAACTAACTAACTAACTAACTAACTAACTAACTAACTAACTAACTAACTAACTAACTAACTAACTAACTAACTAACTAACTAACTAACTAACTAACTAACTAACTAACTAACTAACTAACTAACTAACTAACTAACTAACTAACTAACTAACTAACTAACTAACTAACTAACTAACTAACTAACTAACTAACTAACTAACTAACTACTAACTAACTAACTAACTAACTAACTAACTAACTAACTAACTAACTAACTAACTAACTAACTAACTAACTAACTAACTAACTAACTAACTAACTAACTAACTAACTAACTAACTAACTAACTAACTAACTAACTAACTAACTAACTAACTAACTAACTAACTAACTAACTAACTAACTAACTACTAACTAACTAACTAACTAACTAACTAACTAACTAACTAACTAACTAACTAACTAACTAACTAACTAACTAACTACTAACTAACTAACTACTAACTAACTACTAACTAACTAACTAACTAACTAACTAACTAACTAACTAACTAACTAACTACTAACTAACTAACTAACTACTAACTAACTAACTACTAACTAACTAACTAACTAACTAACTAACTAACTACTAACTAACTAACTAACTAACTAACTAACTAACTAACTAACTAACTAACTAACTAACTAACTAACTACTAACTAACTAACTACTAACTAACTAACTAACTAACTAACTAACTAACTAACTAACTAACTAACTAACTAACTAACTAACTAACTAACTAACTAACTAACTAACTAACTACTAACTAACTACTAACTAACTAACTAACTAACTAACTACTAACTAACTAACTAACTAACTAACTAACTAACTAACTAACTAACTAACTAACTAACTAACTAACTAACTAACTAACTAACTAACTAACTAACTAACTAACTAACTAACTAACTAACTAACTAACTAACTAACTAACTAACTAACTAACTAACTAACTAACTACTAACTAACTAACTAACTAACTAACTAACTAACTAACTAACTAACTAACTAACTAACTAACTAACTAACTAACTAACTAACTAACTAACTAACTAACTAACTAACTAACTAACTAACTAACTAACTAACTAACTAACTAACTAACTAACTAACTAACTACTAACTAACTAACTAACTAACTAACTAACTAACTAACTACTAACTAACTAACTACTAACTAACTAACTAACTAACTAACTAACTAACTAACTAACTAACTAACTAACTAACTAACTAACTAACTAACTAACTAACTAACTAACTAACTAACTAACTAACTAACTAACTAACTAACTAACTAACTAACTAACTAACTAACTAACTAACTAACTAACTACTAACTAACTAACTAACTAACTAACTAACTAACTAACTAACTAACTAACTACTAACTACACTAACTAACTAACTAACTAACTAACTAACTAACTAACTAACTAACTACTACTAACTAACTAACTAACTAACTTAACTACTACTAACTAACTAACTAACTAACTAACTAACTACTACTAACTAACTAACTAACTACTAACTACTTAACTAACTAATAATAACTAACTAACTAACTAACTAACTACTAACTAACTAACTAACTAATAACTAACTAACTAACTAACTAACTAACTAACTAACTAACTACTAACTACTAACTAACTAACTAACTAACTAACTACTAACTAACTAACTAACTACTAACTAACTAACTACTAACTAACTAACTAACTAACTAACTAACTAACTAACTAACTAACTAACTAACTAACTAACTAACTAACTAACTAACTAACTAACTAACTAACTAACTAACTAACTAACTAACTAACTAACTAACTACTACTAACTAACTAACTAACTACTAACTAACTAACTAACTAACTAACTACTAACTACTAACTAACTAACTACTAACAAACTAACTAACTACTAACTAACTAACTACTAACTAACTAACTAACTAACTAATAACTACTACGAACTAACTAACTAACTAACTAACTAACTAACTAATAACTAACTAACTACTAACTAACTAACTAACTAACTAACTAACTAACACTAACTAACTAACTACTAACTAACTAACTAACTAACTAACTAACTAACTAACTAACTACTAACTAACTAACTAACTACTAACTAACTAACTAACTAACTAACTAACTAACTAACTAACTAACTAACTAACTAACTAACTAACTAACTAACTAACTAACTAACTACTACTAACACTAACTAACTAACTAACTAACTAACTAACTACTAACTAACTAACTAACTAACTAACTAACTACTAACTAACTAACTAACTACTAACTACTAACTAACTAACTAACTAACTACTAACTAACTAACTAACTAACTAACTAACTAACTAACTAACTAACTAACTAACTAACTAACTAACTAACTAACTAACTAACTAACTAACTAACTAACTAACTAACTACTAACTAACTAACTACCTAACTAACTAACTAACTAACTAACTAACTAACTAACTAACTAACGAACTAACTAACTAACTAACCAACTAACTAGCTATCTTATAGAAAGTTTTCTTTTAGCACAGTTTCTTCAGAAAGTTCTCTTATAGAAAAATTTCTTGGGAAAATTTTCTGAAAAAGTTTTGTTGAGAAGATTTTCTTATAGAAAAGTTTCTTCGAAAGTTTTCTTATAGAAAATTTGCTTCAGAAAGTATTCTTATAGAAAAGTTTTTTGAAAAAGTTTTCTTACAAAAAAGTTTCTTGAGAAAGTTTTCTTATAAAAAAGCTTCTGAGAAAGTTTTCTTATAAAAAAGTTTCTTGAGACAGTTTTCTTATAGAAAAGTTTCTTGAGAAAGTTTTCTTACAGAAAAGTTTCTTGAGACAGTTTTCTTACTGAAAAGTTTCTTGAGAAAGTTTTCTTAGAAAGTTGTGACTAGACTATAGACTAGACCTCAGACTAGACTATAGACTAGACCATAGACTAGACTATAGACTAGACTATAGACTATACTATAGACTAGTGAATATAGTATATATATAGGCTAGACTATAGACTTGACTATACTATGACTAGACTATAGTTTGTAGGATAGTTAAAAAAATCCAAAATCTCTTCTCTTTTCACTCACCTGTTCATCTATAGGACACCCTCTCTCATCTAACAACTGTTGTGTCGACTCACCCAAACCATCTAAAGCTGCACAATCAACAATACGCACACCCATAGAACCAGGAACAATAGCACGTACTGTTAGCGTAGTAGCTTGACCTACAACAACTGAACCGGAACCATCAGGGCCGCCCAATTCTAACCAAATGCGTACGCGTGGTGTTTGTGATGTGTGAGCATGAGTAAAATGTTGTTGTTGTTGTTGTGCGGATGATGATGAGGATGGTGGCAAATGTGTTGTTTCCATATCAGCGGCGTTTAATTGTTGTTTCATTAGAGGTGTTTTGGCTAAATAAAGATTTGCATGTTGCATGCGGCCATGTCTTAAAGAAAAATAAGTAGAGGAAGGGAAAACGATTAATAAAATAAAAAAAATAATTATGCAAATGAGATTGAAAGAGTTTAAAGTAAGTTTTAATTAAATTGTTTATTTTAAGACAAAACGTGAAAAAATCTGGGGAAAGTTTTGGGATTTTTTTTAGTAAGTTTTGGGAATTCATATTTTTTTGAATCAACTTTTTAGGTCAAAAATGATTACGGGGAAGTTTTGGGATTTTCAAAAACTTTTTGGGAATTCAAAATCAAAAAATCATTCATTAAAACTATATTTTTAAGCTAAAAAAATCAGGGAAATTTTGGGAATTTCTATAAAACTTTTTGGGAATTTAAAAATTTTGGAAAATTTTTATATTTTTAGATTTTTTAGTATTATTTAAATAAAAATGTATACATTTTAAGTAAAAATTGCAACTGGGGAATTTCTGGGATTTTCAAAAAACTTTTTGGGAATTCATAAAAATTATAAAAATGTAGATAATTAATTCTTAATATACTTTAAAAAATGTTCGAAAAAAGTAAATTTTTAAGCTAAAAAAATTTGGAGAATTTTGGAAATTTCTATAAAACTTTTTGGGAATTTAAAAATTTTGGAAAATTTTTATATTTTCGTATTTGTTTTGATTTCTTTAACCAGTTTTTTGAAAAATTTACCAATTTTAGGTTGTAAAACCAAACTGGGGACGTTCTGGGATTTTCAAAAACTTTTTGGGAATTCAAAAAAATATTAAAAATGTTAATAATTTTTAATATACTTAATCTACTTTAAAATTTTTTTATAAAAATGTAACTTTCAAGCTAAAAAAATCTGGGGAATTTTGGGGATTTTTATAAAAAAAATTTGGGAATTCAAAAATTTTGAAAAATTTTCATATTTTTGGATTTTTTAGCATTATTTTAAATAAAATCTATTAATTTTATGTTCAAATTCCCACTGGGCAAGTTCTGGGATTTTCAAAAACTTTTTGGGAATTTGAATTTTTTTAAAAAATTTTAATTTTCTTCATGTTTAACTCACCTCAAACCATTATTTTTATTTTTACTGCCCTCTACACCCGCCAACAACATGCCCATGGCTGTAATGGGCAATTTACATTTGACGGTTTTTAAAATATCCGAACTTTGTCTTAACTTCTCCTCCATTTGCATCATTATACGCACCGATAATTCCATAGAACCATCATGTCTGGGTTCCACTCTAACACCACAACCTGAGGTGGGCAATCTTAAAGTAATATTCGTTTCAGAGGTGCCTCTTGCCCGGCATTCATGGGGAAATTCTTTGGCATATAGCAGGCCATGAAATGGACGATTAAGTTCTACACGCATTTCAAAGAGTTCCCGGGTACAGTTGGTATAAACTTTGGCTATTTTAAAGCGGGTTTTGTTAAGTTTTTTCGCCTCCGTTTTAGACATATTTGTGGCTTCCGGTTCGGATTCTAAAGGGATTTCATTGTATTCCTCTTGTAGTTTATATTTTTTGAGGGATTCCTCTAGTAGTGGAGCAGTGGTTAGGAGAGTAGCCTCGGAGGCAGATACTAAGGGTTGTGCTGCTGGTGGTAGATCGGTTACGATTACGTTTTGTGTAGAGGTTAGTGTTAGAATACAACTGGTCGTGAGCAGGAATATTAGTTGTAATTTCATCATTTTACTGGTTTTTCTTTTATTTATAGCGTTTGTTGCTAAATGTGTTTTTTATTAGTTTAAATTATGTTTTTTTTTCGCTTAATTTAGTTTTTTTTAATTATTAATTAAACTAAAGTGTAAATTTTTAATGTTTCTCATTTAACTGTTTTCTTGTTTTCGACATTTGCTTCTAAGTTTCTATTTAAATTTGTATTTAACTAGTGGTCTGTGTTTTTTTCTTAATCATTAATATTTTTATTCATTTTTTTTTCGTTATTTCTTGCTTGATTGCATTCTTTTTGAACAGGATTTTTGTAAATAGATTTTCGTTTTTTTTAATTTTATTTTTCCCTCTATTAGCAGCTGTCGTCTAATTGCTACAACTGCTGTCGTGTTGTATTGACATCTGCAAATAAAATGTTAAAAAATAATATTTGATTAATGGCGTTGTTTGACAAATAATTACAAAATGTTTAATAACTAAAGTGAGGAAATAATATTATTTACTTTAACATTAAATATAAAGTTGGGAAATGTTAGTATTTAACTAACAGAAATTACAAAATATATCAATAGCAGTGACTAGAGATTGATTTAAAGTAAGACTGATCTGCAGTATCTTCTATAGAGTGATCTATAGTCTACACTGTAGAATGAACTATAATCTCGTCTATAGACTGATCTACAGTCACGATTATAGACTGATCTATGACCTAGACTATAGATTATAAACTGATCTACAAACTTGACTATAGACTCGGCTGTAGTCTATTTTCAGTCTATAGTCTAGTCTATAGTCTAGTCTATAGTCTAGTATATAGTCTAGTCTATAGTCTAGTCTATAGTCTAGTCTATAGTCTAGTCTATAGTCTAGTCTATAGTCTAGTCTATAGACTAGTCTATAGTCTAGTCTATAGTCTAGTCTATAGTCTAGTCTATAGTCTAGTCTATAGTCTAGTCTATAGTCTAGTCTATAGCCTAGTCTACAGTCTAGTCTATAGTCTAGTCTATAGTCTAGTCTATAGTCTAGTCTATAGTCTAGTCTATAGTCTAGTCTATAGTCTAGTCTATAGTCTATTCTATAGTCTAGTCTATAGTCTAGTCTACAGTCAAGTCTACAGTCAAGTCTATAGTCTAGTCTATAGTCTAGTCTATAGTCTAGTCTATAGTCTAGTCTATAGTCTAGTCTATAGTATAGTCTTAGTCTAGTCTATAGTCTAGTCTATAGTCTAGTCTATAGTCTAGTCTATAGTCTAGTCTATAGTCTAGTCTATAGTCTAGTCTATAGTCTAGTCTATAGTAGTCTATAGTCTAGTCTATAGTCTAGTCTATAGTCTAGTCTATAGTCTAGTCTATAGTCTAGTCTATAGTCTAGTCTATAGTCTAGTCTATAGTCTAGTCTATAGTCTAGTCTATAGTCTAGTCTATAGTCTAGTCTATAGTCTAGTCATGTCTATAGTCTAGTCTATAGTCTAGTCTATAGTCTAGTCTATAGTCTAGTCTATAGTCTAGTCTATAGTCTAGTCTATAGTCTAGTCTATAGTCTAGTCTATAGTCTAGTCTATAGTCTAGTCTATAGTCTAGTCTATAGTCTAGTCTATAGTCTAGTCTATAGTCTAGTCTATAGTCTAGTCTATAGTCTAGTCTATAGTCTAGTCTATAGTCTAGTCTATAGTCTAGTCTATAGTCTAGTCTATAGTCTAGTCTATAGTCTAGTCTATAGTCTAGTCTATAGTCTAGTCTCTATAGTCTATAGTCTAGTCTATAGTCTAGTCTAGTCTAGTCTATAGTCTAGTCTATAGTCTAGTCTATAGTCTAGTCTAGTCTAGTCTAGTCTATAGTCTAGTCTATAGTCTAGTCTATAGTCTAGTCTATAGTCTAGTCTATAGTCTAGTCTATAGTCTAGTCTATAGTCTAGTCTATAGTCTAGTCTATAGTCTAGTATAGTCTAGTCTATAGTCTAGTCTATAGTCTAGTCTATAGTCTAGTCTATAGTCTAGTCTATAGTCTAGTCTATAGTCTAGTCTATAGTCTAGTCTATAGTCTAGTCTATAGTCTAGTCTATAGTCTAGTCTATAGTCTAGTCTATAGTCTAGTCTATAGTCTAGTCCAGTTTTAGTCTAGTCTATAGTCTAGTCTATAGTCTAGTCTATAGTCTAGTCTATAGTCTAGTCTATAGTCTAGTCTATAGTCTAGTCTATAGTCTAGTCTATAGTCTAGTCTATAGTCTAGTCCATAGTCTAGTCTATAGTCTAGTCTATAGTCTAGTCTATAGTCTAGTCTATAGTCTAGTCTATAGTCTAGTCTAGTCTATGGTCTAGTCTATAGTCTAGTCTATAGTCTAGTCTAGTCTAGTCTATAGTCTAGTCTATAGTCTAGTCTATAGTCTAGTCTATAGTCTAGTCTATAGTCTAGTCTAGTCTAGTCTATAGTCTAGTCTATAGTCTAGTCTATAGTCTAGTCTATAGTCTAGTCTATAGTCTAGTCTATAGTCTAGTCTATAGTCTAGTCTATAGTCTAGTCTATAGTCTAGTCTATAGTCTAGTCTATAGTCTAGTCTATAGTCTAGTCTATAGTCTAGTCTATAGTCTAGTCTATAGTATAGTCTATAGTATAGTCTATAGTCTAGTCTATAGTCTAGTCTATAGTCTAGTCTAGTCTAGTCTATAGTCTAGTCTATAGTCTAGTCTATAGTCTAGTCTATAGTCTAGTCTATAGTCTAGTCTATAGTCTAGTCTATAGTCTAGTCTATAGTCTAGTCTATAGTCTAGTCTATAGTCTAGTCTATAGTCTAGTCTATAGTCTAGTCTATAGTCTAGTCTATAGTCTAGTCTATGGTCTAGTCTATAGTCTAGTCTATAGTCTAGTCTATAGTCTAGTCTATAGTCTAGTCTATAGTCTAGTCTATAGTCTAGTCTATAGTCTAGTCTATAGTCTAGTCTATAGTCTAGTCTATAGTCTAGTCTATAGTCTAGTCTATAGTCTAGTCTATAGTCTAGTCTATAGTCTAGTCTATAGTCTAGTCTATAGTCTACTCTATAGTCTAGTCTATAGTCTAGTCTATAGTATAGTCTTTTCTTTAGTCTTTTCTATAGTCTAGAGTATATTCTAGTCTATAGTCTTATCTACTATGTAGTCTATAGTCTAGTCTATATTTTAGTCTTATTACCTTTTTGTTTACATTTAGTTTTGTTTAAAATCAAGCAAATTTTTTCCCAAAATTACTTTTAATTTATATTTAAAATTATTCATTCATATTGTTTTGCATCTTTTGACATCTTTTAAATGTCATGTTAATATTTTAAAAATTTTAATACAAATTCATTTGTAATTAGTTTAAACTAAACATTAAAATTTACATTTAACAACAGCAGCAACACCACCCATTGTTTTTTCTGAAATAGTTTTTGGGTCAAACTTTACCATAGTTAATTTGCATGATATTGTTTTTTTTTAAAGAAATATATTCAACTATTTGTCTCTAAAGAAAAGTAAAATAAAACTTAAAACACTTACGACACAAGTTCAAAGCATTTTTAATTGTATTCATTAAAACAAAAGCAAAAAATGTGCAAATAAAAAGAAAAAACAACTAAATACTAATTTAAATTTAACAACAAAAAACAATAAATTATTTAGGAAAGAAGAAACTAATTTTGTTAAAAATAAATATTAAACAGTTACAATTGTTAATGTTACCAGCCAGTTAATTTCCTTTCCTAGCCATTCACAATAACACCAAAACAATGTAAACTGTTACTGCATATTGAAATGTAAACAACTAAGACTTAAGAAACAAACCTTAAAATGGCATCCTTATAATAGTAAAGAAATGTAAATAAACAAAACATAAGAAACAAACACACTCTCACGCACACACTCTACAAAGAGAAATGTAAACAAAGACTTAGGAAACAAACCTTAACGTAACAACCTTTCAAAGTTAAAGAAATGTAAATAAAAAAGTACTGAACAAGAGAAATGTAATTATTGAAGACATAGAAAACAAACACTAACATGTTGTTTTTTGGAAATGTAAATAGAAAAGACTTAAGAACCAAGAACAGCAACAGTTGTCAACAATAAATAAATGTAAACATTGAAAACTTAAACAACAAGTAGTAATAGATATTGCGTGCTTGTTATTAAAAAAATGGAAAACTTTGATAAGAAACAATTTAAAATCAAAAAACCTATTTAATTTCTATTAAAAAAAAACATTGACAATGATTTTGAAAAAACAACTAACAGAAATATAAACTTAATTAGCTAATACCAGTCATGATAATCTTTTTATACAAAGAAATAAAAACTAATTGAAGATGGTCATCTATGGTTAAACCACTACACACTAACACAACAAAAACTACCTTTCTAAATGGCTTACAAACCAAATCAACAACAAAAAAAGCAATTGATCAATATTGTTTATTTATTAATAACATGATCATCATCATCACAAGCAGCCAATAGTACAAACATAATGATGATTTTTTATTATTATAATAATAATAAAAATAAAAAATTATAAAAAAGTTTTTATTTTTAACATCATTATTATGAAATTGCATTCATACAGAGGTGCTAAACAATTGTTTAATTCATAGTGTTGTCTTATCATATTTTTGTCGATTTTTTTTTTTTGGATTGATTAAGTGTTGAATAACCGATTATATATTCATATACCACACATGCTTACAAACATTTGCAATTTTAATTAAGTTTTTTGGAATACAACAAATGCAGTTTGTTGAAATGTTTTTGTTGCCGTTTTTTTTTTTATAACATTTGTTTCCGTTTCTTTTGTTGTTTGATTTTTGATGATTTTAGTAATAGCAAAACGTTATGTTGTTTTACCATATTTTGTTGACACATTTAAAGGTCAGTTTGGTTTAAGAAAAAGAGATTTTTAAATCGAAATTGTAATTTGCCATTTGACCTTCATCTTTTTGTTATACTAATATTTATTTATGTGTAACACTTTAACGTTAAATATGTTTAAGTGTGGCAACAATTTTATTAAATAAACTGTTTTGTTTAAGCGGATTTGTTAGTTTTATTTAAATAAAAACTTATTTTTTTTTTCTTCTAACTAGGTTAGGGTGTGTTTAGTTAAACTTATTTGCACTTAATAATATATAAATTAACAAATTAAACGAATAAATGCTTAAATACTTCCATTTAACTTAAGTTTATGATCATTTGTTTAAATAATAATTATTTTCTAAATATTTTTTTCAAATAACATAATTTGTTTAAGATATTCACAATATTAATTATACCAACTCATGTCTATTTATGCCTCTATGAAAAAAAAACCTACAACAAATTCATGATCATGATGTTTATACCCCCACTTTGTATTTGATTTCTTAACATTTATTATTAATACATGTAATCAATAGT